CCTCTTTATACACCAGTTTGTGTGAAGTGTGTGGATGTGCCTCTTTATACACCAGTTTGTGTGAAGTGTGTGGATGTGCCTCTTTATACACCAGTTTGTGTGAAGTGTGTGGATGTGCCTCTTTATGCACAAGTTTGTGTGAAGTGTGTGGATGTGCCTCTTTATACACCAGTTTGTGTGAAGTGTGTGGATGTGCCTCTTTATACACCAGTTTGTGTGAAGTGTGTGGATGTGCCTCTTTATGCACAAGTTTGTGTGAAGTGTGTGGATGTGCCTCTTTATACACCAGTTTGTGTGAAGTGTGTGGATGTGCCTCTTTATACACCAGTTTGTGTGAAGTGTGTGGATGTGCCTCTTTATGCACAAGTTTGTGTGAAGTGTGATTAGAAAGTTTCAATAAACAAAAACGAAACAGAAACGTTTTATGTCAAATTAAAACAGCTCAGTGCCAGATGGTCTCACTTTAAAACCTCTAGACCCTGACTTGCACACAGATATGGTGAATAGGTCTTGGGGGTACAGAAGGGACCACTCGGATGACTATGTGAGACTTCTCATCCGGAAGTTTCCATCTCTTGGTCTGTTTGATAGGTGAGTGACCTTTTGGCCATTTCTACATTTCTTTGGTACAATTTGAAGAAGAATGCGTTTAAATTCAGATCGAAAATGAATCGAAGTTAAATTGAAGAGCGTGATGAAGCCTTAAGTTTGTTATTTGTGTGACTCTCTTTTCATCGATTTTTACGTTATACCACGAAGTGCTGGTCATCGTATTTGTTGATACGGAATTTATAGTTAAAAATAACTGGAAAATTTACACAGGGGGGGGGCTGGGGTGGATTAGGGGGGATTGGTGTGCTGGTGAGAATTTTAAGGAGGGAGTGTATACCTAAAGAGCAGAGGATGAGGAGGGGTTTCAAAAAAATAACAGGTTAAATCAAGGGAATGTGGAGCTGAGAAGCAGGGCACTAGGAGCAGAGAAATGTCTAAAAACAACGGTCTTAATTGAGTGAGTGTGGGGAAATTACCATACTCCGGATGGTCTAGATAAATTCATAAAAAAATATTTTCAGGAAATTTGTAAGACGTGACGTCACGCTTTTGTGAAAAATGATGTTTTGTTGCAGATTTTAATGGTGTTGATTTCAGGGTCCTTTGACACAATTTTTAAACACGGGTGGATATCATTTTATCCTTCTCTTTTCAGGGAAGGCAAATGTCTGGCTTTCGAACTTAGCAATGAGTTTGGACTTATGGGATTTCTTTACGTAACACCGGAAGCGAGAGGTCAGGGTTTAGCGAAAATCATTTCGAGTCACCTGGCTAACAAACTGTTCTCAGACAATTTACCGGCAGCGGTCACAGTGTTATACGAGAATGCAGTGTCCTTGAAGTTGCACGAGGATTTAGGGTTCAAGATCAAGTGTACGCTTGACATACTGATCTCTAGGTCACCGGATGAGTTTCAATAAATATTTTATTTGAACGTTATGATATCTTTCCATGGTGTACTGCCCCATTCAATTAATCACTCTTAACCCAAGAAAGTTGAAGACTTACTGGTCAGTAAATTCTCACACGATAAAGAGGTCTCAACAAGTATTTCACCAAAGAAACTCTGTGGCCATCCGGTAACATTTGTACACCCCTGACTTCGTAATTTTTACTTTAAGATGAAGGATAATAAATACATATTGCTATGGGTTATATTTATTTCCATATGCAAGGGAAGCAACAGAGAAAAAAAAACTGCTAACATTATCACTTAGCTTTATAAACTCTATGTACATTTCACATTCCCATTTGAAACGGGTGAAAACAATGATATCAGTTGTAAAATGAGGTCGTAAAATGGCTGTAAAAACTAATGTCCTTTATGTTTAGCAGTCAAGCCAATTAGTTGTGTGAGAGGCTTCCGGCGTTAAAATACAAAACGTGCAGTAATTTTAACGTTGTCGCTCCAAAACATAAAAATCCACACACAGCCTTTTTAAACACACTTAACATGTTTTAGATCAATGTTTTAGAGCAGGCCTGTTTTAGATCAATGTTTTAGAGCAGGCCTGTTTTAGATCAATCTTTTAGAGCAGGCCTGTTTTAGATCAATGTTTTAGAGCAGGCCCGTTTTAGATCAATCTTTTAGAGCAGGCCCGTTTTAGATCAATCTTTTAGAGCAGGCCTGTTTTAGATCAATCTTTTAGAGCAGGCCCGTTTTAGATCAATCTTTTAGAGCAGGCCTGTTTTAGATCAATCTTTTAGAGCAGGCCTGTTTTAGATCAATCTTTTAGAGCAGGCCTGTTTTAGATCAATCTTTTAGAGCAGGCCTGTTTTAGATCATTCTTATAGAGCAGGCCTGTTTTAGATCAATCTTTTAGAGCAGGCCTGTTTTAGATAAATCTTTTAGAGCAGGCCTGTTTTAGATCAATCTTTTAGAGCAAGCCTGTTTTAGATCAATCTTTTAGAGCAGGCCTGATTTAGATCAATCTTTTAGAGCAGGCCTGTTTTAGATCAATCTTTTAGAGCAGGCCCGTTTTAGATCAATATTTTAGAGCAGGCCCGTTTTAGATCAATCTTTTAGAGCAGGCCCGTTTTAGATCAATCTTTTAGAGCAGGCCTGTTTTAGATCAATCTTTTAGAGCAGGCCTGTTTTAGATCAAGCTTTTAGCGCAGGCCCGTTTTAGAGGTTTATCGTAACTTTCCATCCCTCTTTCAATCAGAGCAATGTCTTGTATCTGACTGCGACGTCACCTTAAACGAAAATTAAATAAATGTGTTACCTGTAAATATGTGTGAGAAAATTAAGGAATCTCTTGTGTGAATTTTGCGTCGATACTCTGAGTAATGATCATGGCGATTAAATGCAGCCAACCTATTTGATGAATGGAGTCTGGCTTCGTGAAATGTTGCTTCTCAGTGATCTATTGCCACAGACGTAAAAGTTTAACTGTAGTTAGAAATGTAACATCTTGCCATGTTATGACGGTGGCAACGATTTCATCACAAAGTTTGAACAAACAACAAATAATAATCTTATCATGACATATAGCGTTAAGGTAGCCATTCGTTTTCAAATTTTAAACCATGAAAGAAAACAATTCAACCAGGACAAGTGAAATATTTGGTGTGCTATGGGTGTCCGAAATGAACTTTATCTGATCTATTTGCAGTGACACGGAGAACTTTTCAGTCGGTGGGGGATGTGTTCTATTTTAACAATAAAGATAATTAAACATTTTAATGGTGTTTTGGATAAATTTTTTTTTTTTTTTTTTGGCTGTGTTTATTTATATATGCCTAGTAGATATCTTTGATGTGTTCCGCGATATTTTGTTAACTTTGTCATTTCTTAAAAGACTAAATTGCCCTGATTATCATTCCAAAAAAAAACTGAGAAAAAAATGTCAGAAAAACCACTGCTGTGTTGGTAAAAGAAAATGAAAGTTAGCCTTACGTAAACTGTTTACACGTCCCCGCATTTTAAATGGCCGCTCACTGACATCAAACATAAAGGAAGCAGAGGTGGCGGGGAGCGGTAAAGTCTTATTTCTATAGAGACACAACGATTCTATAGAGACACAACATTTCTATGGAGACACAATATTTCTATAGAGACACAACGATTCTATAGAGACACAACATTTCTATGGAGACACAATATTTTTATAGAGACACAACATTTCTATGGAGACACAACATTTCTATGGAGACACAACGATTCTATAGAGACACAACATTTCTATGGAGACACAATATTTCTATAGAGACACAACATTTCTATGGAGACACAACATTTCTATGGAGACACAACGATTCTATAGAGACACAACATTTCTATGGAGACACAACATTTCTATAGAGACACAACATTTCTATGGAGACACAACATTTCTATGGAGACACAACATTTCTATGGTGACACAACATTTCTATAGAGACACAACATTTCTATGGAGACACAATATTTCTATAGAGACACAACATTTCTATGGAGACACAACATTTCTATAGAGACAAAACATTTCTAAGGAGACACAACATTTCTATGTTGACACATTATTTCTATGGAAACACAACATTTCTATGGAGACACACCATTTCTATAGAGACAAAACATTTCTATAGAGACACAACATTTCTATGGAGACACAACATTTCTAAGGAGACACAACATTTCTATGGAGACACAACATTTCTAAAGAGACACAACATTTTTATAGAGACACAACATTTCTATGTAGACACAATATTTCTATAGAGACACAATATTTCTATAGAGACACAACATTTCTATGGAGACACAACATTTCTATGGAGACACAACATTTCTATAGAGACACAACACTTCTATAGAGACACAACATTTCTATGTAGACACAACATTTCTATGTAGACACAACATTTCTATGGAGACACAATATTTCTATGGAGACACAACATTTCTACAGAGACACAAACTTTCTATGTAGACACAACATTTCTACAGAGACACAACATTTCTATAGAGACACAACATTTCTATGGAGACACAACATTTCCTTAGAGACACATTTCTATGGAGACACAACATTTCTATGGATACACAACATTTCTATGGAGACACAATATTTCAATAGAGACACAACATTTCTATGGAGACACAACATTTCTATGGAGACACAACATTTCTACAGAGACACAACATTTCTATAGAGACACAAAATTTCTATGTAGACACAACCTTTCTATGGAGACACAACATTTCTATAGAGACACTTTCCTATAGAGACACATTTCTATAGAGGCACAACATTTCTACAGAGACACAACATTTCTATGTAGACACAACATTTCTAAGGAGACACAACATTTCCACGGAGACACAATATTTCTATAGAGACACAACTCACTTTCGGAGGCCATAGTGAAAAAAAAAGTATGCAGTGCTGGACTGGGTTAGCATGTTGAATGTTTAGGGTCAACCCTTCAGGGTCCATCCATAAACTGATGGGTGATAACCACCTGATTACTTTTTTCATTAATAATTTCCCTTTGTTGTGTGACATGTTTTTTTTTTAATGATTGTCTTGTTGTTTGGTGGTTTTAATTAATTAATTTAATATGAATTTTAAATGAGGGATTTTGCAGTGGGGTGCTTTTCATCTAAAATAGAGTGGTTCTCATTGTGTGATGGTAATGAGTTGTATTTTTGTGTGCGTGTAATCGTCTTGTAGAATAATTAAAATGGTTTAAATAAGTGATAACTGAGTGGGTTCTAATTTTGAATAGTTCTCTAAATTTGTGTATATGTGTCTAACCTTTTAGGATTATTCTTGTAGTGTAGTTAAAATCTTTTAAATTAGCGATAATGGAGTTGTTCTCAATCTAGGATTAAGGGTCTGGTTAAATAAATCAATTGTATTTTATATTTTTAAATTTGTATATTTTGAGAGCCCACGATCAAAATATTGATCATTCTGGCTCCTAATGGTTGTCTTGTAGGGCCATATCTTGAGTGGTTCTCATTGTGTTTGGTGTTAGTTTGGTTATATTTTTTCTTCTTTGGAAATACTTGACGTGTAAGATGTATTTTAAATTAGTTTTCTCGTAGTGTTAAACAGTTTAATTAATATTCTTGTTGTATGTCAATTTTTTTTACCTGTATAGCGTGGTCCTCATAATTTATGTATATGATTGTATACTCTTTGGGGATTATTCTTATAGTATGATAATTTTTACATTGAGTGGTTCTCGGAATGATTGGTCTTGTTGTGTATTTTATAAGGAGAGGTCTTGTGGTGTTTTTTTTTTTTTTTGGGTATATTTTGAGATCCCGTTCTGGCTACTAATGAGTGGGCTTCGTGGGGGCAGAATGGGGCAGATGTATCCTAAACCTACTGTAAAATGTTGATGGCATGTTGTCATTGAAGATTGATCTTCAAACTATCAAATAGACTCAATGAGACGTTATGACAATCAGGTTTACATTGTGCTCACTTTGTTTAGTTAAATAACTGTTATTGTTAGAGCGCGTGGGGGGGTGGGGTCCGTATATAAAGTTGATGTGGAGCCCCGCGGTGAGATATAGCTTCGTCAGTGATGTTTTTTTATACCAAGTTCAGCGATAGCGATGGAGAAATATCCAGATTTTGTTGGGGTATATTTCCCAACACCAAGTTTTCTTACACACAATCAAGTCTCCCTAACTAAAACAGTAATACACGTAGGCTGAGACTGTTACTTGGGGTCACGCTCGTCACCTGATTCTAGTCAACACTCAGGAACACTGAACTACTCTATCAGTACGAGGACTCTCAAAACACTCTGTCTTCTCGTAGTCTCGCAACCATGTATACACCTCAAATTAATGTAACTAGTATTTCCCTCTAGACCAATGCCATTGAGACACAATAATTCAAACTCACCTCGCGTACAAAAAAAAAAAGTCTACCGTAAGCCACGTTTTAGTTCCTATACCTTGACGCGGTGCGTAATCTCACCTCTGTTGTGTTCTACATATCAAAGAAGTCTAAGGGCCACATCTGTCATTCCCATTGCAACGCCTGTCTAACGCCGGCATTGCAATGGATGGTGCAGGTAATTTTACACATTAACATTTTGCGTTTGACAAGTTTGATATCTTGAAGAAGAGAACACAATCTCTACTCTCCTTTATTAAACAAGTAATAGAATCGTGGCATTCGTGAAATCTTACGAAAAGCTTACTTGGAAAACTACAAATTAATCATGTCGGACTTTAACACAACCGAATCCTTCCCCCCTCCCCTGCCCCAACCACCGGTCTCATTCACTCTTCAACAAAATCCGCAGGTAATCTGGAGTTCAAGAAAGTCGAAGCCCATGACCTGCTTCAAGTATACAGTTGGCTGACCGAACACTTGCCCGACACCTGGAAGGTGAGGTGTTACATTTACCAAAGTTAATCATGCGACAATAATTATTTTTTTATATTAATTTTTTTTATTAATGAAAATTATTTTTCTGGGTTAAAAACTCCAACCAAAATATTTTTCAAGGTATACTTTCAAATTGTGGTAGACGCTGAGAGCCTGTCGTTTACTTATTGTGTGCGGTCATTATTGTTTGTTGCGTTCTGTGTTTTTGAGGAACGGGTGACTTAATAGTTTGTTATCTCAAGTCATTAGAGATAAGAAGGCTTGTGTCGTACGTGATTTGGTTTATTTTAGAGAAGACAGATGACTGTGTGGACAATTTCTATTATTACAGATTATTGTGTAGATATATGCTGGTATTACAGAAATGAGATTGTAGTGCCAATAATGATCTGCCTTGTTCTTCAAATTAGCTGTGGTCATCAGCAAGAGAAGCAATGTCCGGCAGATGGCCGTGGGCCACGTTCTACGTTCTTGTGGGTTTGCCGGATAATATCGTGGCTGTGGGAGAAGGTCCACCGGAGGAGACGAGTCCAGTACTTTAGTAAAATGCATGCGAGTCAAAATGCTGTAACTCTAAGAGTCCTATGTTTATCCCGTTCGTAACAGTTATGTTAGTCATAATATGCGCATGTTACCATTATCCAAATAAGGCTTAACTTAAAACATTTAAAGCCGAATGCATGAGGGAAAAAAATTAATCTGGAATTTTAAAAATCTAAAATATTTTGTTCTCCTTCTCATTTTACCAATCATATTCACCTGCCTGTTAGTACCGGCATAGTATTACCTACTCATTGATACCGGCATAGTATTACCTACCCATTAGTACCGGCATAGTATTACCTACCCATTAGTACCGGCATAGTATTACCTACCGATAAGTACCGGCATAATATTACCTGCCCATATTTACCTAAACATGATTACCTTTCCGTCACCTTCCCTTTAATACCACCAAATTTAACCTATGCATTACTACATCATTATTTTATCATCTACCCATAATTGCCTACCCATAATTACTACATATTATTACCGACTTATTATTCCGTACCATTAAAAACATGCCCTATTTTACACACCATTTTCAATTTTAACGAAAATCTCTGATTTCTCACAAGTTTCTTCGCGGAATTTTCCTTAAAGATGAACGAGTAAAGGAGAAATAGAACTTAATAATTTTATAATTTCATCATTAAAAAAAAAAAAAAATGAAATGCAGGTCTATACATACTACACACAACCTAGAAATGTCTGTGCATTTGGTATCAGTCCATTCCATGTCAAAACATTACTAACTGGCCTGGCTTTATGGACTGGAGTAAAAGCTTTATTTTCTTTGGTAAGTTTTGGACTTTTCAGAATAATGTACTGAAATTTATTTAGTTAGCCCAACTCCCATCCCCAACCCACCAGCCCCACAACAGGAAAAAACAAAAGCAGTTTGTCAGCTCGCGGGGTCAAGAAATGTCTATTGGGTTTACTTCATTATTTTATGGCGTTCCATCGATGTCCTTCCAACTGTCTTTCTTTCCCCAGTCTTTCTGGTCTTTGATTGATTCTCTTACCCCAATGTCTTTCTTTTCCTAAGTCTATAATGTCCTTGATTCAGTCTCTTATCCAAAAAAAATGTCTTTCTTTTCCCAGTCAGTCTGGTCCTTGATGGATCCTATTATCCAAATGTCTTTCTTTTCCCAGTATGTCTGGTCCTTGATGGATTCTATTATCCAAATGGCTTTATTTTCCCAGTCGACCTGGTCCTTGATTGATTAGTTTATCCATAGTCTTTCTCTCTCCAGTCTTTCAGACCATAGCTTGTTTATTCAATCCAAATATTGTGTTCCGGGTATAACGGCGTGTAGCTCTGTCTCTGTATTAAGATATTTGTATAGGATCTCGTAATCTCCAGACAATGATATTAAACACACAAAAAAAGTATTATTTATGTACCATTCTCCTTTTCCTCTAAATCAGATGTTCCAACAGCAGTCAGCGAAATTGTTTACGAGCATGTCGAGCTCGAGGAATGCCGAAAGCTTAACCTTAACAGAAACAAGTGTCTGTTGATGGTAGACAACCCAGGCGATGTGGGACTTTGGTGAGTTTTATTAGGAACGAATTTAGTGTATACCATTTAAGTTTTCTTAAGTCTTTTTTTTAAGGTGATATGTTGGCCTGACGTTAGGCCTTCGTTAAACGAATTAAGTAGCATAAACATTTTTTGAAGAGACTCCAGAAAGCAAGATCTATTCTGTGGCACGGATCGCTTTCTGTCCTTTTTCTTTCGTATCAAACAATCTTGTGCAGATGACAGCACGGCCAAGAAGGCTGAAGAACTAAAACCAAGTTTCTGGAAGACTTTGCGTATTTCAAAGTGAGGACGTCTCCAAAAACATTCGCTCAGGTGGATTTTTGCTGTCCACATGTTGCTGTTTTGTGGTTACATTACAGGCAGTTGTAAGTTATGAGAGCTGTGGTAGTGTGCCATTAGCTAGGTCTTCTTTTAAACTTTGCTCACTGAAAATTATATTTCTTTGTAGAATGTTATTATCGATCAACTGTCTGTTATACTGCAGATTTGTTTGGGTGTATTTGTGTATGTTTGTGTGTGTTTGGGTGTGTTTGGGGGTGAATCGTGATGATCGTATTTATTTATAGTTAACTTTTGTATTTTTTCATAACACAGCCCAGTGCCAGATGGTCTCACATTAAAACCTCTAGAACCCGACTTGCACACATATTTAGTTAATTCTTCCTGGAAGTACCGAAGACATTGTTCTGATGTTTATGTGAGAATTCTCATTCAGAGGTTTCCATCGCTGGGTCTGTTTGATAAGTGAGTGACCTATACCCAGTTCTATATTTTGGTGCTCTTTTAAGATTCACCAGTACGACTTAGATCCAATCGTGAGTTTATGAGCGGGTATCAAGCATGTCCTTTGATATCTCTTCGGTCGATTCTAGATATACCTCGTAGATATAAATCAATGCATTAGTGTGAGTCATCGTATTTATCATATTGATTTGATAGGTAAAATATACAGGGAAATGTTCATTAAATACTTAGTAAGCAGTGGTAAGATTAATCCACAACCATCCTCCCTAAAGCTGTGGTGCCGTCTATCCACAACCATCCTCCCTAAAGCTGTGGTGCCACTATCCACAAACATCTTCCCTAAAGCTATGGTGCCATCTATCCACAACCATCTTCCCTAAAGCTGTGGTGCCACTATCCACAAACATGCTCCCTAAACAACAATTTTTTTTTTTTACCTTTCCTTCTGTGCTCTCCAATTTATCCACCCTCAAACACCCTCCCCTTTACTTCATCTATTTCATACTCTTGGACATCCCTTTCATACGCTTAGACATTCCTTTCATACTCTTGGACATCCCTTTCATACTCTTGGACATTCCTTTCATACTCCTGGACATCCCTTTCATACCCTTAGACATTCCTTTCATACTCTTGGACATCCCTTTCATACTCTTGGACATCCCTTTCATACTCTTGGACATCCCTTTCATACTCTTAGACATCCCTTTCATACTCTTGGACATCCCTTTCATACTCTTGGACATCCCTTTCATACTCTTAGACATTCCTCTCGCCTTAACCCAGCTGTGTGCGTTACCTTTAAAGCAACAAACGGTCCGGTTCTTGCCTGTTTCCATTGTTCAGATATTTAGAAAGGTTGGTCAAAATTTAACAACCGTTTTACCCTAATCGGTCCACACTGCCTCCAGCACACCTCTGCCTTAAGAGTCTCACCTTTCCCCACAAACCCACCACCCCTTTCTTTCTGTCAATTGATTTTGATGCCGGTCTTAATAGTGGAAGTGTGTGTGAGAGGGGGTGGGGGTGGTATTAAGTTGACGCATCAGATCACCCAATTTAACTCATAGCAAACTTTTTTTTTTCATAAATTATGGACTAACAGAGGCGTTACATTACAGGGTCGGGAACTCAATGTTTTTAAACAGATATTGGTATTGTCTTTTTCTTACATTTTCAGAAAAGGAAAATGCCTGGCTTTCGAGCTCAGCACCGAGTTCGGAACTCTAGGACTTCTCTACGTCACACCAGAAGCGAGAGGCCAAGGGATATCGAAAGCCATCTATAGTCAACTGGCGAACAAATTGTTCTCAGAAAATTTACCGGCAGCCGTCACGGTCGTGCATGACAATGAAGTCTCCGTGAAGCTGCACGAGGGTTTAGGGTTCAGGGTCAAGTGTACCTTTGACATACTGAAGTCTTTGCTGCCTCATGAATTGAACTTTTTATAAATGTTTTGAATATCTTGACAGTGTGTACGATCATAGTTGATATCATACTCTGTACCCCCATAAATCCGTAAACATTAAATGCTATTTAAGTCACACAATTTTCTAAAAGATAAGATAAAATAATTTTACTGATCCAGACGATGGACTTTTTTTTTTTTTTTTTTTTATCGTACGTATTTTTTGTTTGTTTTGAAAGTTTTATTTTTTTGTTTTTCTTTTAAATTCTTTTTTATATTAAATGCTATTTAAGTCACACAATTTTCTAAAAGATAAGATAAAATAATTTTACTGATCCAGACGATGGACTTTTTTTTTTTTTTTTATTTTTCGTACGTATTTTTTGTCTGTGTTGAAAGTTTTAGTTTTTCGTTGTTCATTTAAATTCGTTTTTAATAAGACTCTGTTGAATAATTGTACGGTATGAATAACTGTTGAGTTCTTGAGTGTAAGAGGTAAGTTTGAAAAGAGTCTTGGCTTTTTATCTAAATTATTATCAAATTAAAAATAAATCAAGGGGGTCTAAGTGGTTATTTTACCAACGAGCCTCCATTGTGAGCTAGCAAAATTTATGAACTCCTGGTTTTAAACATTTTTCTTAGAGATTAATTATAATAAATAACATTTCCGAATAGTTGTATTTCGCTTTGTGAGCCATTCAAGTGAGCTAGTCTCTTGACATTTCAAGATGGCCTTTTTCAATTACGTTGGTCGCATTATTTACATATTTTAAATTAAGTCTGGCTTCATGCAAAGTTTTTATTGATTTATTGCTAGCTCTGTAAAATAGAATTTCTTTGACTTATTTAGAAAGCTAACTTGAGTCATAAAATGACTTGGTCGTGATTTCATAGCGAAAGGTTGAACATAAAATTATGGATCTTCTAATGTCACGGGACGTGAATATGATGTATTTACGCGTCTTAAAATTTTTAATAACTGCCTAGTGACATCAAAAATATAACATAAATCATCAGACAAGAAAAGTAAAATAAATTCAGTTGACTGTCCATGACGTGGGAGGTCGCTCGTGTTCCATGGGAGACCTCTGGTATGGTTAATTAAAACTACACATATGATTTCGAAAATAAATGCGAGTTGGTTAATTTTTTAAAAATATATTTAGTTTAAAAACCAAACAACAAATCAATACTTTTGTTAGGTGGGTGGAGTGTGGGGAGAGAGAGATAGAGAGAGCAGCGTTCAAGACGCTCCAGAGACATTCCAAAGACATGCTACGCTAATGAAATGAAGAGTTCTTGTTGTTTTTGTTGTTGTTTTGCTGTTGTTTTTAACTTTCAAACAAGTAATAACTATGTGTTCCAGACACAAGTTATCTGCCCCGATTGAAAGTGAACAAGATGTCCTGTCACACTGCAAATTCATCCCCAGCGGTCACAATTTGACAAAATGTCAATGTCCACATTTGATATCACGTTACAAAGATGCGCATCAACAAGCGATCACGGCGCAAATCCATCTGACCCGCTTAGCAAAAATCTCCCCCCTGGTTGCCTAGAAAGGCATATGGATCACCAAGATTACACTTAGGAATAGTGAAGATATTTTGTATTGAATTCAGTAGTTGCATGGATCCTAGATCTTGACCCCCGTCGACGAGACATGTAAATTGCTACTTGTATTTATTTACTTAAAATACACACGGAAACTTCCAGAAAGATAGAGCCATTAATCATACAAGTTTTTTTTTTAAAAATATGTTTAAAAGTGTCAAAACAGTGCCATCCATTCCTGTGCATTTGTGTCAACACAAGGTTACATTAAACAACCCCTAAAAAAAAACACCCACCTTTTTCGTAGGACTGCTTTATAAAATAGAATATGGAGCAGTGCGAGTAGGGCTGAACATCGGACAAAACATTCAGACAAGCAACACACTTTATAATAACCCCAATTAAAGCCCCCTTCGTGGCTCACAGCCCCACATGTGTTCATGCCCCTGAACCATAGCACTATTCTAAAATTCTATTAAAAGCCCAACCGCATTTACATCGCAGATTTGTTTCACCAACTATTTGAGAAAACAAAAGAAAATATTTCGTACAAAACGCACTTGCGATATTTTTTTAAAAAGAATCTCATTGAACGCAGATATGAAGGAATTTCATTTGGTGAAATCAGGGGGCATCATATTTCCTTCATCTTCCCCTTAAAAACTGATTTTTTTTGTGGGGTGGGGGTAGAAAGGTGGCTGAAAATTTGAGAGAATATGTTTCCATTTCATTTTGTAATCAGCCCTTTTGCCAACTTTCAGCTCGATAGAGTGACGGAAAGTGTGTCAATCAGCCGTCCGAAGATTTTGTCTGGCACCCATACAGCCGTGGAAGAAGTTTTGATCCCATTATGAAGTGGCTCTATCAAAACATGATGAAAAAATATTGTAAAAAATTACATCAAAACAGGGTCTACGCCAACTAAAAATGGCTGAAAGGGTGCAGGGTTTCTGGGTGGATATGAGGACGCATGGATGGATGGGATTTGAATACATCAAATTAATGGATGGATGGTGTTTGGATAAATAAATGTATTGAACGATGGGGTATGGATAAACGGATAGACGAAGATGAGCTTTGGATAAATTAATGGATGGGGTTTGGATGAATGGATGAATGATAAGATAGATCAATTGATGGTTAGATTTTTTAACAGACAGACAGACATACATTATAAACCGATCCCAAATGGATTTAATATACGATACGCATATGATGATGTTGTAACAATGCACATACAAAACTGACCTCCAGTACTACGCTAACTATCGCTAAGCTGTGGTCGCCATTCATATTTTAGTGGGAAGCTTGTCCGAAAATCAATTTAACAAAGGAAGAATCTCATTATCCCGTAGTCATGCATGGTCACCGTGGTGACCCAGTAATTTGGCCATGGTGTTACACTGTGCCCTACTATTATGACACCGCATGACAGAAGTTCCCGAACTGTGAACCGAAGCCCCCTTCCTTCCCTTTTGGGTAGCCGCGGCTTTCTCAATGACGCGACGAGAATATGAGGAGACAAAGGCTCTAAAAATTTGCTGTTGTGTAAGTGCACTCGTAAGAATTTGCCGAAGGGCCCCTTGGGCGCATCTGAATGCAGTAAGGGTGAGGTAATGCGAATACGTTTGGGGGATCACTGCTGTAAGACATAATATCACCTGGGTTTAGGCGAAATCTAAGGCCCAGATCTGTCGTTCCCATTTCAACCTGTCCTATCTTCGCTGCCTGACCCGTGTTGTCCGCAATATCATGGATGATGCAGGTTGTTTCTTTTTGGTGTTTTTTTTTCAAAACACCATTCACGTTGATGTTTGTTTGTTTTTTTTTTACTTCTGTTAAATAATGACCATATGAGATACATACTCATTTTTTTTTATTCAAACAAATATTAAATTTAAAAAATATAATTGATCAATGTCGGTCTTGATTTCAAAAACCAATGCCCAAAAACATTTACTCTTCATCAAAATCCGCAGATGACTTTGAGTTGAAAAAGGTCGAAACCAGTGACCTGCCCATGTTACACAGATGGCTGGCCAATCACTTGCCGGACACCTGGAAGGTCAGGTGCAAATGATGACGGCATATTTTTTTTTTTTTTTTTTAATTTTTTTATTTTTTTTTTTCCCTTTTAAAAAAAAATTTCGGACAACTAGAAGGTCAGGTGCAAATGATGACGGCTTATTTTTTTTTTTTTTTTTTTAAATTTTATAATATTTTTATTGCCTTTTAAAAAAAAAAATTCAAATAATATTCACATATACTTTCTAAATGCGTTATATTTTGAGAGATTTAATTTAACTTATTATTTGTGTTCATAATTGTTGATTACGTTATTAGGACTGAACACAAGTTGTTTTTTTCTGAAGTTATTATGAAGAGAAAATTTGAGTAGTTCATTTTGTGATTGACTACAGTGGAAATGGTTTTGCACGTATGTGTTATTTTTCCAGACGAGAGTGGTGTGCAGCAATTACTTTAGACTCTTAGAGCTTAGATTTCAGTATCTTTATAATAATGCCTTATTGTTCTAATCAGCTGTGGTCATCAGTAAGAGAAGCAATGTCCGGCAGATGGCCGTGGGGATGTTTTTATGTTCTTTGTGATAGGTCGGACAACATCGTCGCTGTGGGAGAAGGTCCACCAGACGAGACGTGTCCCGTGAGTATCCATGAGTTGGTATCAGCCATGTGTGTTTTATGTAGTATTGCTGTACGTATAAGCATTTTATGAATCTGCAGTTATGCTGTTAGTGTAAGCATCTTAAGAATCTGTAGTATTGCAGTTCAGTTGAATTATCTGTGTTAATTAGGGCCTCTGCTTTCATTTTCGCTTTGCCAATCTCAGAAAGACGGGAATATACTTTTCCTCATCCGGGAAATCTCGGGATAAAATAAAATTGATTAAAAATACTTTTTACCCTGAATGAAAGTATACAAAGAGTTACATTTTTATATTTGTTTAATCATCATTTTCTTTTAATGATTTTAAAAAAAACAACTAAGTTACGGTTAGTTGAGAGGTTCATCATCATCATCATGTCCCTTAGTCTTTGGACCGTTGGGGCGCCACGGATGACATGTGAACTATCCTCCTGCATTCGTCTCTGTCTTCTGCACTTCGCACAGCATCGCCTAGTTTCAGTCCCGTCCACTCTTTGATGTTGTCTTCCCATCTTTTTCTTTGTCTTCCTCTTCTTCTCCCTCGCTTGTTACTTGTTATATATTATCTGCATATATATATATGTATGTATGTATTTGACGTTGCTGTAGGGTGCTTTGCAAATTGCTGTGGATTTCAAGTTCCCTCACCGTTGACAAACGGAAACTCTACGAACCTTTGTAGTAGAGTGTTAAAGCTGTTCATGACAAGATTTATTTTTTTTTAAACTATCCAAGATATTTAGTCCTCGTTAATCCGCCCTCTGGCACATTTTTTACCTTGATGAATTTGAGGGCTGACGCTTGAAGACCTGCATACCTGTGTAACTTCTGTTTCTTTAAAACAACCCCAGGCCTATCTTTACTACACCACACCTAGAAACGTCTGTGCATTCGGTGTCAGTCCACGCCACGTCAAGATTTTACTCAACTGGCCTGGCTTTACGGACTGGAATAAAAGCGTACTTTTCTTTGGTAAGTTATGACCCTGCTTGATTCTTCGAAACAAACCTTTTGGATTTTGGTGTATAGTGGCCACAGTTGCGGCCTTTGTGTTGAGAATCCGTGGAAGAGCTTTTAAAATCAGAAATAATGAAATAAAATCGGATATTCTGGCAAGGTTGTTTAGAAATAAAACATATAACTTTATTTCTCATTTCTACTTTTCCTCCAAAAACAACAAAAAAAACAAAAAAAAAGTTGTTCCAAAGACTGTAGGTGACATTGTTGAAGAGCATGTGAAACTGAAAGAATGCAGCAAACTTCTCCTTTACAGACATCAGATTCTGCTGATGGTCGCTGACCCTGGGGATGTGGAACTTCTGTGAGTTTTAAGAGACACACAATTAAGTAATAAAGTTACATTTTAATTACTTTTTTTTTAAAGTGCCGTGTTAGTTTGTCATCAAAACGGCATTCTGATGAGAAGACCCCATCAAGCAATACATCATCTGATGAGAAGACCCCATCAAGCAATACATCATCTGATGGGAAGACCCCATCAAGCAATACATCATCTGATGGGACGACCCCATCAAGCAATACATCATCTGATGGGAAGACCCCATCAAGCAATACATCATCTGATGGGACGACCCCATCAAGCAATACATCATCTGATGGGAAGACTCTAACATGCAAGATATCTTTTATATAAAGATACCGCTTTACTTTCTTTAGTAAATAAACCATTTTTCAGAAAGTGTTCTTGTGTCTTTGTGTCGTCATTGTCTACAGCTTGTTACGTATGAAATTCTTACATCAGCACACAGTGTAACATATGCAAAAAATCATTTTGTTATTAGAATTAATAGTAATGTCTATTCAAGCACACTCTGATCTTGTATAGGTTCTCCAATTAGAAATATAAGCTTCGCTTTAAAAAAAAACTTAGCATTGGGCTACACTACTTTCTTTTCCACTCTCTGAATTGTTCTGTCACACACTACCTTGAAAAAGAGTCTATAAGTTCCAAATGCATTATGAAATAATTTATTTTTGAAACATAATCTTTATAATGTTTGAGCCTCATATTTTAAAGTCAACCTACACTGCTCCAGCATGTTATTATGGCCTGAGCTCTCCACCACTACAGCATGTTATATGGCCTAAAATCTACACTATTACAGCATGTTGTATGGCCTGAAACATACACTACTACAACATGTTACATGGCATTTTCAAAATAATTCTGGGATGTGTGTTAAAATTTGGTTGTTATTTCTTCTGAATGTACGTCACCCGACTGCTACGCCCTGAGCCGTGGCCAAGTTCGGCCCTAGGGTAAATCCAACCCTAAACAGCACCAACCTCGCCCCCTTCGTTTACACAAGATCCTACGCCTTCAGCTTATCTCTCACACTCACGCTATTCATCAAATATGTCACTTAACTATCAGGGATTCTCCCATCGTCCCACAAAGTATGCTAATTGAGACATGGTTTATATAATATATTATAAATTCAATTATTTATTTTTGTGTTAAAACAGCCCGGTTCCAGATGGTCTCACACTAAAACCGCTAGACCCCGACTTGCACAAAGATTTGGTGGACACTTCCTGGAGGTTTCGAAGGAATCACTCTGATGAATACATTAGGGTTCTCATACAGAGGTTTCCGAGTCTCGGTCTGTTTGATAGGTGAGTGAACTTCTTCTTTTCTTTTCATATTTAAGAGCCCACGATCAATTTATTGATCATTTTGGCTCCTGGTTTGAATTCAGAGTTTGCCTTCTCTTAGATGAGTTGTCGTCCAAGGCTAGCGAGTCCTATCAACCTTGACCTGTTTCTAAATTTCTTGGGCTTACTTTTAAAACGAAGTCGTTAAAAGGGCATTGACATTGCATCGATGCTGACGGTAAATTCAGTTAAGTATTTGCGTGTCTTTAAGCTTGAAATTTTTAAATTCTGTACATTGACGTCGCTTTTGTGTGCTCACAACTGCACAACAAAGTTTTATTCAATTCAGCCGCTCTGCACAACAAAGCTTTATTCACTTCAGTCGCACTGCACAACAAAGTTTTATTCACTTCAGCTGCACTGCACAACAAAGTTTTATTCACTTCAGCCGCACTGCACAACAAAGTTTTATTCAATTCAGCCGCTCTGCACAACAAAGTTTTATTCACCTCAGCCGCACTTCACAACAAAGCTTTATTCACTTCAGCCGCACTGCACAACAAAGTTTTATTCACTTCAGCCGCAGTACACAACAAAGTTTTATTCACTTCAGCCGCTCTGCACAACAAAGTTTTATTCACCTCAGCCGCACTTCACAACAAAGTTTTATTCACTTCAGCCGCTCTGCACAACAAAGTTTTATTCACCTCAGCCGCACTTCACAACAAAGCTTTATTCACTTCAGCCGCACTGCACAACAAAGTTTTATTCACTTCAGCCGCAGTACACAACAAAGATTTATTCACTTCAGCCGCACTGCACAACAAAGTTTTATGTATTATAGGGAACATTACCCAACACGTTGTCCGGAAATTTCAAAGACGCGATGCTACACTATTGGGTCAAGTTTCGCATGATTTAAGTACGTTCGGATTCCTAAAAACAATCATAGTTATTTCTATTATTTTAAGGAAATCGAATAAATTTAAATGCGCAAAAAATATTTTAAAACCGCTTTTATTTTTGTAAACGTTTAAGTATTATTATTATAAATTAAAATACATTTAAAATAACAAATAAGGAACTATTTTAAGCATTTTATATGTGTTTAAAAGCTGTGCAAACAAACAAAAAATCAAAAATCATGATTAAAGAATTACACCGTAATCACATTTATTGGGAAAACCCAAACAGCAGTCGTTTTTAGTGCGTCTTTTTATAATAAGAAAATGCGGTTTAAGTCAAAAAGTGCAGCGCAACTCTATAGCCGAATAGCATTGACAAATCAGGCTATAACTAAAACAAAAAAGAACGAATCATCTGAAGTGCAAATTATTTTAGTTTGCGTATGGAAGGGACTACATTAGCTACAAAATTTTGTCCCTGGCGTACAGCTGCATAGATGGCTCAGCACCGGAATATCTCAAGGAACTTATTTATAAACATGTACTTCTGAAGAGACTGCGGTCTTCAACACAGTACTTACTGAGTGTTCCTAGAGTGGATGAACACAGAAAAAAGTCTTACGGAGTGCGCTCTTTTGAAGCGATGGCGCCAAAATTATGGAACAGTTTGCCTCAAACTTTGAGGGGAATTGTAAATGATTAAAAAAATCATTTAAGAAACAATTTAAAACATTTTTGTTTCAATAGATTTCGGAGGACCAGAGCACAGTGAGCGTGCTAAAGTGGCAAGGATACCAGTGCGATATAAATATCACATCAAATCAAACAATCCGGTTGAAGATTTTTCTAAATTTATTTAAAACTGGGTGGGGGAGGGGTTAGTTACTTTGCCCCAGGCAGCCCAAGATACGTCTCAAAATAAAGGAATGACTTTGATAAATAATTAACCTTCTTGGGAACATACATTTCGGAGGTAGGAAATAGGATGTGTACATTTTCACGTGTATGTCAATATCTTTAAATCCTATGAGATTACATTTGGGAAAAAGGAGATGTTACATTCTCTTTTTAAAAATAAGTGTATGTTCATTTTGCTCAAGGCAGAACAAGATACGTCTCAAAATAAAGGAATGGTTTGATAAATAATCAATTTTCTTGGGTAAATACAAGTCGTAGGTAGGAAATAAGATATGTACATTTTTACGTTGATGACAATATAGTTAACTCCTATGGTATTACATATGTGAAAAAAGAGATTTACATTCTCTTTTAACAAATATACTTATGTTTCCCAATTAAGAAGATGAATGGCGTTAACAAATCGTGGGTACATTTATATAAGTATAACCATGAACAAAACCCAATCATTTTACACATTTGAAAAATTAATTTTAAAAAATGGAGATGGGTTAATATTTACTTTCAAAAAATTAAAATACATTTTTGTTTTTAATTTTAAAAAGTAAAGAGATTTGTATTTTATGAGATTAAAAATTTAAATTAAAAAAAAACAACAAGACTCAAATCTTTAATAGACGTGAAAAAGGGTTGCGCGATTTTTCTTTAGATAAAAGAATTCTTTGTTTTACGATTTTCTGATAATATATATTTTATTTAAAAAAGGCAAAAAATGTGTTAAAATTTTTGCTGAAGATATCAATGTATATCGAATTCCTATGATATAAAATATTTTTATATCATATATAGAGTTTTTGTGTAAATTTAAGGCAATTTTTTAAAACAATTTTTAGAGAAAAGAAGTTGTAATTCAAGGGCACGAAAAGGGGTAGAACTAAAGTATTTCACTAACGTAGTAATTGTCCCTCAATTAACTTCTTTAGTGATAAAAATGCTATAATAAGTAATAATTTAGACTGTGTAATTTAAGGTCATGTTTAGAGGGGGGGGGGGGAAGTAGTTTAGGAGCGTGAAAAGGAGTTGGGTAGGCCTATAATATATAGCAGATAAATTCTGCCCAAAGCGTAATGATGTTAGAAACATAAATATTATTACATTTTTAAAGTTATGAATTGTGATGAGTTTTTGCAATAGCAGTTAGAAATTATCGCATAGGATCTACCCTTATTAACCCGATAACATCGGGTCTTTCATTCTAGTATATATATATATATATATATATATATATATATATATATATATATATATCAGTAACGCTGTGTTCAATAGGCACGCAAAAATATTGTCAAGTACCTATATAGATGAGAAGTTCAACATTGCTGTTGTGTGTTTGTGTGTTGTTTTTTGTTTTTTTTTTGTTTTTTTTTTGGGGGGGGGGGTAATTTTGAGTATATTATAATCATCTGTTTTTCATTGTCCCAAACACATGCTAAAGTGCAACGCGTGAGAAATGCTTTTGTCTTATCATGATGTTTCAGGGATGGTAAATGTCTGGCTTTTGAACTCAGCACCGAGATAGGAACTCTGGGACATCTTTACGTGATACCGGAAGCGAGAGGTCAGGGTTTATCGAAGGTCATCTCCAGCCACCTGGCGCACATACTGTTCTCCGAGAATCGACCGGCGGCCGTGACAGTGATGAGCACAAATGAAGTCTCAGTGAAACTGCACGAGAGCCTAGGGTTCAAGGTCAGGTGTAGGCTCAGCACGCTGATCAACATGTTGCCTCATGAATTTAACTATGACTGAAATAAAAAAAAAATAAATAAATACAAGTGTGAAATAGTTCTATAACAATTATGTCAAACTTGATAACACAGACTTCACGTAATATGAAGCACTCATTAAATGCTCGCTAACTGATAAAATCTATCTAGCACAGAGATATTCTCTGGTTATCATGGGTGCTGTCCATGGCTACACACATGGGTAGATAGTATTTGGATGGGTGAGGTCAAGCTTTTTCAGCAATTGTTGTTATTTTTTAAATGTATATTTTTCTCTAATTGCTAATTTTTATATCAAGCGCAGTGAGCCTAGCCCTACGCTGTGGTACTGCGATATATAAAACCATCTTTATAATAACAATAATAAAAATAACGTTAGTGCACAATGAGCTTTTGAATCTTACTTTTTTCATCCTTTCTTTCCTCTCTATTAAAAAACAAAAAATAGTTAAATATTCAATACAACTTTAATAAATCAGCTGTATATCGCATCTTAAACGTGGTGGCTGATTTGATTTAGGAAATCTATTGACATATTCAAGACGACTTCATATTATGGTCTATGTGGTTGTATACACCACACTCCCCGTTTGAGACTCTCTGAAATACACGGTGTGACGTCGATCACGCTAGCGTTGAAAATACGGATCACGTTTTCATCAACAACAATTTTGCGGAGCAAGAATCGCAAAATGAATTGAAAAGGAGCGTATTCCATCATCTAAAGATGACGAAAAGAAAAAAACAAAAACAACAACACGACAGTAACATTTCGTAAGTCACGTGGTAAACAGTGATTTCAATATTCTCAACACACATTTATGTACAGATTCTAAAAAAAAAAAAAAAATCGTAAAATCGTGACTGTAAGTCAGATTGTTGACAGTCATACTGTAATTTCATCTGACTTTAGAAATTGTTTGCACTTAGCTGTGAGAAAATTTGATTTTTATTAAAGATGAAGAAAAAAAAAAAACAAAAACAACAACACGACAGGAACATTTCGTAAGTCACGTGGTAAACAGTGATTTCAATATTCTCAACACACATTTATGTACAGATTCTAAAAAAAAAAAAAAAAATCGTAAAATCGTGACTGTAAGTCAGATTGTTGACAGTCATACTGTAATGTCATCTGACTTTAGAAATTGTTTGCACTTAGCTGTGAGAAAATGTGATTTTTATGCTATTCTCAATATGGCCACCGAAGTCGAATACAAAATGTTCACTGGTCTAAAATGTTCAGTTGTAATAATTATCCACTAATCCTAAATTCAACTCAGGCGCCATTTCTTGATTAACCTACGTCAAGGTTTACAGCTGTCAAAACCAACCCCCATATTTACAATACGTCACCGTGGTATTCTAATTCAAATTTATGGTGTCACCCATCGAAAATTGAAATCTGTGTGATCGGCTAAGACATGAGTGTTAGAAAAAAACATTACAAGAACTCGATAGCATTCAATCTATAGTTTAGTCGGTAGCATTCAATCTCTATAGTTCAGTCGGTAGCATTCAATCTATAGTTTAGTCGGTAGCATTCAATCTATAGTTTAGTCGGTAGCATTCAATCTCTATAGTTCAGTCGGAATCATTCACTCTCTGTAGTTCAGTCGGCAGCATTCATTCTCTATAGTTCAGTCGGTAGCATTCAATCTCTAGTTCAATCGGTAGCATTCAATCTCTAGTTCAGTCGGTAGCATTCAATCTCTAGTTCAATCGGTAGCATTCATTCTATAGTTTAGTCGGTAGCATTCAATCTCTAGTTCAATCGGTAGCATTCAATCTCTCGTTCAGTCGGTAGTATTCAATCTCTAGTTCAATCGGTAGCATTCAATCTATAGTTTAGTCTGTAGCATTCAATCTATAGTTTAGTCGGTAGCATTCAATCTCTAGTTCAATCGATAGCTTTCAATCTATAGTTTAGTCGGTAGCATTCAATCTCTAGTTCAATCGATAGCATTCAATCTCTCGTTCAGTCGGTAGCATTCAATCTCTAGTTCAATCGATAGCATTCATTCTATAGTTTAGTCGGTAGCATTCAATCTCTAGTTCAATCGATAGCATTCAATCTCTCGTTCAGTCGATAGCATTCAATCTCTAGTTCAACCGATAGCATTCAATCTATAGTTTAGTCGGTAGCATTCATTCTCTATAGTTCAGTCGGAATCATTCACTCTCTGTAGTTAAGTCGGCAGCATTCATTCTCTGTAGTTCAGTCGGCAGCATTCATTCTCTGTAGTTTAGTCGGCAGCATTCATTCTCTGTAGTTCAGTCGGCAGCATTCATTCTCTGTAGTTCAGTCGGCAGCATTCATTCTCTGTAGTTCAGTCGGAAGCATTCATTCTCTGTAGTTCAGTCGGCAGCATTCATTCTCTGTAGTTCAGTCGGTAGCCTTCATTCGCCGTAGTTCAGTCGGCAGCATTCAATTACTCCTTTAGTCGGTAGCATTCAATTATTCGTTTAGTCGGTAGCATTCATTCTCTAGTTCAGTCGGTAGCATTCAATTATTCGTTTAGTCGGTAGCATTCATTCTCTAGTTCAGTCGGTAGCATTCATTCTCTAGTTCAGTCGGTAGCATTCAATCTCTAGTTCAGTCGGTAACATTCAATCTCTAGTTCAGTCGGTAGCATTCATTCTCTAGTTCAGTCGGTAGCATTCATTCTCTAGTTCAGTCGGTAGCATTCATTCTCTAGTTCAGTCGGTAACATTCAATCTCTAGTTCAGTCGGTAGCATTCAATTATTCGTTTAGTCGGTAGCATTCATTCTCTAGTTCAGTCGGTAGCATTCATTCTCTAGTTCAGTCGGTAACATTCATTCTCTAGTTCAGTCGGTAGCATTCATTCTCTAGTTCAGTCGGTAACATTCATTCTCTAGTTCAGTCGGTAGCATTCATTCTCTAGTTCAGTCGGTAGCATTCATTCTCTAGTTCAGTCGGTAACATTCATTCTCTAGTTCAGTCGGTAGCATTCATTCTCTAGTTCAGTCGGTAGCATTCATTCTCTAGTTCAGTCGGTAGCATTCATTCTCTAGTTCAGTCGGTAATATTCAATCTCTAGTTCAGTCGGTAGCAATCAATCTCTAGTTCAGTCGGTAGCATTCAATCTCTAGTTCAATCGATAGCATTCAATCTCTCGTTCAGTCGGTAGCATTCATTCTCTAGTTCAGTCGGTAGCATTCATTCTCTAGTTCAGTCGGTAGCATTCATTCTCTAGTTCAGTCGGTAGCATTCATTCTCTAGTTCAGTCGGTAGCATTCATTCTCTAGTTCAGTCGGTAGCATTCAATCTCTCGTTCAGTCGGTAGCATTCATTCTCTAGTTCAGTCGGTAGCATTCATTCTCTAGTTCAGTCGGTAGCATTCATTCTTTAGTTCAGTCGGTAGCATTCAATCTCTAGTTCAATCGATAGCATTCAATCTCTCGTTCAGTCGATAGCATTTTTTCTCTATAGTTCAGTCGGTAGCCTGCATTCTCTATAATTCAGACGAAGGGCAAAGACTAGGTTAATTACATGGAGTTTACGAATCTTTTGACATACCTCGGGCTTCAGGAATTTTTTAAAATTATTTATTGCAATCTATGTTCAGGAATAAATCTATAACCTAGTGAAAGTGTAAATCTAGACATGAAATGAGATGGCCGTGATATCATAAACAACAGTTTATCCATCTTCTAATGTCACTTAACGTCTACAGGGTTTATTTTTAGATGTCTTATAATTTTAAATGGCTGCTCGTTGACAGTAAAAAAAAACACAAAAAAAAACCCATAAAACATGAGGCATCCATAGAACAGTACCGTAGCAATGCCTCGGGCAACAGACAAAATGTGTTGCTGTTTTTTAATTAAAAACATTACCACGGACTTTGGATTATGTGTTTTGCAAAGCTGTTTGCACTTCTTTAACAATCTTTGTCTTCACAGTGGCAAGACAGTGGCTTATGCCACCCAGGCCGGGTCAAGATTTTCACCGTTCCCTACCCCGCCCCCCTTTTCGTGCCACGGGAAACTTTCCAGTTGGTTGAAGTTACCGCCCCTCAGTTTATAGCAAAAGTGCCACCCGGAGTGGACCGACGCCACCGTCCCAACCTTGCTACGCAACTGGTCTTAATTTCTTTTCTTTTTTTGTAAGACGGTCTAGTAACCCTAAACTGAAAAGACCCCAACATTCTAAATATAAATGTCTTCTGTTGTACAGAGCAAATAGTTTACTGTTTGTAAAACTGTAGCCATTTAGATATGTTACGGCCAAAGCCCGAAGTTCGGCGAATTCGCAAAATGGCCAGTAATTTCGCACTTTGGCCGAAAGTTGTGGCCAAGATCCGATGTACTTGAAATGACCTGTTTATATACTACATTGGCCGGCCAAGATGACGTCATCTTTACTCTGATGAATGTCCACAGCTATGGAAGTGTTGTTACAAAATGGTGACCATGTTTTTGGAAGCACCCTACATCAGTAAAGCAAAAATCTCAGTAAAGACCAACATTGAGTCTTTAAAAAAATCTATTCGTGAAGTGGTAGGTATTCCCTGGCCAAATATTCGATGAGCTGATTCCGAACAGGCTTCTGTTTTAACATGAACGTCGGGGGCTCTCTCTGCCAAGTAGGACCAAACCATTGTGAGCTCAAGCAACTCCTTATCTAGAAGTGAGCTTTATCATTCTGGTCTGCGCTAGAAGATTCTCACTCTTAAATCCATGGGAACAACTGAAAAAAAGCACAGTGAACCTGACCGACGGCATCATGCCATTTCGGATTCTGACCAACAAAATAATAATAAAAATATCGGAGTATGACTGGTAAATTTACAGGGAAATTGGCCCAATTTGGCTGACCAATGCCAGAATTGACCTTTTTCGGGTTTTGGCTGAAACAGATTTTTTAATTATTTTTTTTTTTTTAAATTTAACGGAGGTAACTTCCAAACTGCAACAGGCTTCTTAACTCTCTATTTCTCTCTCTCTCTCTCTTGTTATGACTGGTAAATTTACACGGAAATTGGCCCAATTTGGCTGACCAATGACAGAATTGACTTTTTTCGGGTTTTGGCTGAAACAGATTTTTTAATTATTTTTTTTTTTTTTAAATTTAACGGAGGTAACTTCCAAACTGCAACAGGCTTCTTAACTCTCTATTTCTCTCTCTCTCTCTCTTGCTCTCTCTCTCTCTCTCTTTCACTCTCTCTCTCTCTTTCACTCTCTCTTTCTCTATCTCTCTCTTTCTCTCTCTCTCTCTTTCTCTCTCTTTCTCTCTCTCTCTTTCTCTCTCTCTCGTTCTCTCTCTCTCTCTTTCTCTCTCTCTCTCTTTCTCTCTCTCTCTCTCTGTTTTTCTCTCTTTCTCTCTCTTTTTCTCTCTTTCTCTCTCTTTTT